TTAAACTTAAGACATGAAACTATAAAAATACTAGAAGAAAGTGCAGGGAAAACACTTGAAATCATCCTGGGAGAATATTTTATGAGGAGGACCCCCGTGCAATTGAAGCAACACCAAAAATACATTACGAGGACCTGATCAAACTAAAAAGCTTCTGCACAGCCAAGAACACAGTAAGTAAAGCAAGCAGACAGCCCTCAGAATAGGAGAAGATATTTGCAGATTATGTTTCCAACAAAGTTTGATAACAGAATCCACAGAGAACTCAAACATATTATCAAGAAAAGAACAAGTGATCCCATTTCAGGGTGGTCAAGGGACTTGAAGAGAAACTTCTCTGAAGAAGACACGCCCATGGCCTAAAGCAGGTGTCCTCCAACTACGGCCCACGGGCGACATGCAGAGGACCACAGAGGACATTTATGCGGCCCACCAGGTGTTTTTGCCGCCGCTGCCTGTCCTGCTTAGCAGCCGACTCGTCCCGGGGCCCGTAGTCTGGCCCTCCAATGGTCTGAGGGACAGTGAACTGGCCCCCTGTTTAAAAAGTTTGAGGACCCCTGGTCTAAAGCCATATGAAAAAATGCTCATCATCCTTAATCATCAGAGAAATGCAAATCAAAACTACTTTGAGATATCATCTAAATCCAGTAAGATTAGCCCACCTCACAAAATCCCAAAACCAGAGATGTTGGCATAGATGTGGAGAAAAGGGAACACTTCTACACTGCTGGTGGGAATGCAAACTAATACGTTCCTTTTGGAAAGATGTTTGGAGAACACTTAGGGATCTAAAATTACACCCACCATTTGATCCTACAATTCCTCTACTAGGTATATATCCAGAAGACTAAAAATCACATCATAACAAAGATATATGTACCAGATTGTTTACTGCAGTCCAATTCATAATTGCTAAGTCATGGAAGAAGCCCAAGTGCCCACTGACCCATGAATGAATTAATAAATTGTGGTATATGTACACCATGGAATATTATGCAGCCATAAAGAAAGATGGAGACTTTACCTCTTTCATGTTTACATGGATGGAGCTGAACATATTCTTCTTAGCAAAGTATCTCAAGAATGGAAGAAAAAGTATCCAACGTACTCAGCCCTACTATGAAACCAATTTATAGTTTTCATATGAAAGCTATAACCCAATTATAGCCCAAGAATATGGGGAAAGGGGAGATGGAGGGGCGGGGAGGGGGGAGGATAGGTGGAGGGAGGGGAATCAGTGGGACGTGGGACCATACCTATGGTGCATCTTACAAGGGTACATATAAAATTTAGTATATGTAGAATATAAATGTTTTAACACAGTAACTAAGAAAATGCCATGAAGGCTATGTTAACCAGTTTGATAAAAATATTTCAAATTGTATATAAAACCAGCAGATTATACCCTATGATTGCATTGATATACACAGCTATGATTTAGTAAAAAAAATGTAAGGACTCTATATAGTAAATTGAATCTGTATTGAATCTACAGTACATGAAGAAATAAGGAGCACTGATAAAGATAAGTCGATAGGTAAATTTAAATGACAGTATGAATGTATTTTTGTTTGTAACCTTTTTTCTACCTGGCTTAACAGAATATTGTACAAAGCAATAATTACTATGAACACAATGTATAAAGATGTAATTTGTGACAGCAATAATATAAAGGAGAAGGATAATGGAGCTATATATGTAGGATAAAAGTTGTTAGTTTAGTACTGAAATTAAATTGATATTAATGTGACTTATAACGGTACAAATTAAGATGTTATTCACCAGGATAAACACTAGGAAAATAATTCAAATATACTGTGTATAGAATGCGGCTGGGCACGGTGGCTCGTGCCTGTAATCCTAGCATTCTGGGAAGCTGAGGCAGGAAGTTTGCTTGAGCTCAGGAGTTTAACATCAGCCTAAGCAAGAGTAAAACCCCATCTCTACTGTAAATAGAAAAATCAGCCACATGTCATGGCATGAGCCTGTAGTCCCATGTACTCAGGAGGCTGAGGCAGGAGGATCACTTGAGGACTGAAGTTTGAAGTTGCGATAGCTATCATGATTCCACTTCACTCTAGCTACATGACAGAGCAAGACTTTGTCTCAAACAAATAAACATGTATAGAAAAATAGAAATAAAATTGGATGCTCTATGGAAAACGGTATATAGAGATTTCTCAAAGAACTAAAAGCAGACCTACCATTTGATCCAGCAATCCCACAACAGGGTATCTATCCAAAGGGGAAGTCGTTTTATCAAAAAGATGCCTACATTCAAATGTTAACTGCAGCACAATTAACAATTACAAAGATATGGAATCAACCTAAGTGCCCATCAATTCACGAGTGGAAGAAGAAAATGTAGTGTGTGTTTGTATACTGAGCTATCAAAGGCAATGTACATGGAAATGGAGACTATTATCCTATATGACATATCTCAAGAATGGAAAAAACAAATACCACATATATTCTCTAATAATTTGGAACTAATCGATGGACACACATGGGTAGAAAGAGAAGTAAAAATTGTTGAAAATCAAGAAGGGAATAGAAGGGAGGAAGAGAGGGGTAAAAACCTACCTAACATGTACAATGAACACTATTTGGGTGATGGGCACACTTACAGCCCTGACAAAAGCATCCATATAACAAAAACCTCTCTATCCTCTCAATGTGTAAAATAAGTAAATAAAATAAGAGACTAGAAAATAGCTATTAAATACAAAAGAGGGCAGTAATGGAAGAATTATGAACAAAAAAAGGAGTAGCACAACATAGAAAACCAACAGCAAAATGGACACTGTAAATCTCCATCAATTATTTACAGACTGAACTCTCCAACTTAAAAGCAGGTTTTAGAAGACTGGATTAAAAACACGATCTTGCTATAAACTATAAGGCACACAACTTCAGATTGGAAGACACAAAGAAACTGAAGATGAAAAGATGGAAAAAGAGATAATTCTGAGACTCTCACTCAAATAAAAACTAGAATGGCTTTTGTCTTCTGATCATAGGCACTTCGGGCTTTGGCAGTCACGGGTCACAGCGCAGACATGGCCAAGTCCAAGAACCACACCACACACAGTCCCGAAAGTGGCACAAAAATGGCATCAAGAAACCCCGATCACAAAGATATGAATCTCTTAAGGGGGTGGATCCCAAGTTCCTGAGGAACATGCACTTTGCCAAGAAGCACAAGAAGGGCCTGAAGAAGATGCAGGCCAACAATGCCAAGGCCGTGATTGCACACACTGAAGTTATCAAGGCCCACACTGAAGTTATCAAGGCCCTTAAAAAGCCCAAGGAGGTTAACACTAAGATTTCAAAAGGGCACCAGCTGTAAACTCAACTTGCCTACAATCGCCTACTCCAACCTTGGGAACCGTGCTCGTGCATGCATTGCCAAGGGTCTCAGGCTCTGCCGGCCAAAGGCCAAGGCCAAGGATCAAACAAAGGCCCAATGTGCTGCTGTATCTACAGCTCTAGCTTCAGTTCCAGCTCAGGATCCCAAAGGTGCCCAGCCCCCCACAAAGGCTCCAGAATAGAGGCATCTGTCTGCCATGAGGACAAAAGGACTGGTGTGACCTCTAGGCTGCTATCTATATGGAGCTGGGGTCCTCCTGTGCTATTTGTACAAATAAACCTGAGGCAAAAAAACTAGAATGGCTATAGTAGTATCAGACAAAACAGTCTTTAAGACAAAAATTGTTACCAGAGACAAAGAAGGGCATTTTATAACGATTAAAGTGTCCACCTATCAAAAGGCAGTAACAATTATAAATATATATGTATCTAACAACAGAGCCTCAAAATACATGAATTAAAAACTGACCAAACTGAAGGGAAAAATGGTATCACTGAACAATATCTGTGGAGACTTCAAAACCTTATTTTCAGGAATAGAAAAATTAGATTGACAAGGAACTAGAGATGTGTCATATATCTGAAATTTTGCTTAAAATGCTTTAAAAAAGAATAAAGCAAATGCAGTAAATTGTTCATTATTAATTCTGGGTAACATATACAGTCTTCATGGTACTAGCATCTCTAATTTTCATAACAAAATTTTTTTAATAAAGGAAAAACATTTACTTGTTCTTGTGGTTATGACTATTGTAGCAATATATTTAAATATCTAAAAATGGGGTGGCGCCAGTGGCTTAAGGAGTAGGGCACAAGCCCCATATAACAGGGATAGCCGGCCATGGCCAAAACTGCAAAAAAAAAAAAAAAGAAGAAGAATAAATAAATAAATATCTAAAAAGGTTAATTTCTTTTCATTTACTTTTTGTCCCAATATTTTTTTTTAATATGGAACACTTCGCGAATTTGCATGTCATCCTTGCGCAGGGGCCATGCTAATCTTCTCTGTATTGTTCCAGTTTTATATGTGCTGCCAAAGTGAGCACTATTCCAATATTATTTTATTTTTTTCTTTTTACATATACACGTGATTATTAGGTTTCCACTTTTTGCCTTCACAGAATTAAAAAGGTTTAAAATTTAGCAACAATAACAATGTTTAAGATAAGGACTAGAAACAAAAACCTTATAAAGAATGAATGAAGATAAATACATTCAGAAAAGAAATCAGACAATTGCTGCAACGAAGTAATAAGCAAAAATAATAAGAGTAATGCAAAGAAAGTGACATTCACATTCTCAAGTAAGAGTATGACTATTATAGAATGCTTAGACTCTGAGGTTCAGTTATAGAGAAATCAATTAACTTCTTACTTTTTTCCAAAGTCACAAAAAATAGACAACAAATATTTATAAATAAAAATACAAGATAATTAAAAAAAACAGGTCATGCCAAATCTTATAGACAACAGAAAAATAAAAAATACTTCAAAATCATTCTGCTTAATCTGGATACACCTGATATTAAAATTGGGGGAAAAACATATTATTATAAAGGGGAAATCACAAACATAATTCACTTTTAAATGAGGATGCAGTATCCTGTATCCTAAACAACATATTAACAAGTTGAAGTAAAAATTAATGTTTAAGTGATGTACTTTAGTCAAAATTGAATCCAATTTATGTGAGGATTCGTCACTATTTTCTTTTTTTTTCCTTGTCCTTACCCTCACCCCCTCCTTCCGTCTGCTCACTCCTTCCCTCATACCCCACCATGTCATTGTCATTAATTGTCCTCATATCAAAGTTGAATACACAGGATTCATACTTATCCATTCCTGTGATGCTTCACTAAGGATAATGTGTTCCACCTCCATCCAGGTTGGTACAAATGCTGCAAAATCTCCATTTTTTTAATAGCTGAATAATATTCCATGGTATACATATACCATAGCTTGCCAATCCATTCCTTGGTTGAAGGGCATTTAGGCTGTTTCCACAATTTAGTGATTGTAAATTGGGCTGCAATAAATAGCCTAGTACAAGTGTATTTATAATAATAGGGGTTTTTTTCCTTCTGGATAGATGCCCAGTAATGGGACTGCAGGATCAAATGGGAGGTCTAGGTTGAGTTCTTTGAGGTTTCTCCATACTTCCTTCCAAAAAGGTTGTATTAGTTTGCAGTCCTACCAGCAGTGTAAAAGTGTTCCTTTCTCTCCACATCTGCCCCAGCATCTGCAGTTTTGAGATTTTGTGATATAGGCCATTCTCATTGGGGTTAGATGTTATCTCAGGGTGGTTTTAATTTGCATTTCTCTAACAATTAGGGATGATGAGCATTTTTTCATGTATTTGACAGCCATTCATCTATCTTCTTTACAGAAGGTTCTATTCATCTCTCTTCCCCATTGATGTATGGGATTGTTGTTTTTTTCTTACAGATTAATTGAAGTTATGTATAGATCCTAGTTATTAAACTACCGTCTGATTCAAACTATGCAAATATCCTTTCCCCTTGGGTAGGTTGTCTATTTGCTTTGGCTGCTGTCTCCTTGGCTGTACAGAAGCTTTTCAATTTAATTAAATCCCATTTGTTTACTGTTGTGGTTGTTGCTATTGCCATAGCAGTCTTCTTCATAAAGTCTTTCCCTAGGCTGGTATCTTCCAGTGGTTTTCCTATTCTTTGAGGATTTTTATCATTTCATGCCTTAGATTTAAGTCCTTTATCCATCTTGAATCAATTTTTGTGAGTGGAGAAAGGTGCGGGTCTAGTTTCAGTCTTTTACATGTGGATATCTATTTCTCCCAGCACCATTTATTGAATAGGGAGTCTTTCCCCCAGTGGATGTTCTTGTTAAGTTTATCAAAGATTAGGTGGCTGTGAGTTGCTGGTTTCATTTCCTGGTTTTCTGTTTGATTCCAAATGTCTATGTCTCTATTTTTGTGCCAGTACCAAGCTGTCTTGACCACTATGGCCTTGTAGTGTAGCCTAAAATCTGGTATAGCGATACCCAGCTTTGTTTTTATTACTAAGAACTGCCTTAGCTATACGGGTTTTTTTTTTTTCTGGTTCCATACAAAACGCAGAATCATGTTTTCCACGTCTTGAAAATAGGATGTTGGTATTTTAATAGGGATGGTGTTGAATTGGTAAATTGTTCTGGGAAGTATAGACATTTTAACAATGTTGATTCTTCCCTGCCATGAGCATGGTATGTTCTTCCATTTGTTACAGTCTTTTGCTTTTTCCTTTCTTAAGGTTTCAAAATTTTCTTTATAGAGGCCCTTCACCTCTTTTGTTAGGTATATTCCTAAGTATTTCATTTTCTTTGGGGCTATGGTGAAGGGAGTTGTGTCTTTAATTAACTTCTTATGTTGGCTGTTATTGGCATATACAAAAGCAACTGACTTGCGGACATTGATTTTATATCCTGAAACATTACTGTATTTTTTAATGACTTCCAGAAGTCTTGTGGTTGAGTCTTCAGGGTTCTCTAAGTATAAGATCATGTCATCAGCAAAAAGGGAGAGTTTGACCTCTTCTGCTCCAATTTGGATGCCTTTTATTTTCTCTTCTTGTCTAATTTTATTGGCTAGATCTTCCAACACTATGTTGAATAGTAATGATGACAGAGGACAACCTTGTCTGGTTCCAGTTCTGAGATGAAAAGCTTTCAGTTTTACTCCATTCAGCAAAATATTAGCTGTGGGTTTTTCATAAATAGCTTCAATCAATTTAAGAAATATGCCACCTATGCCTATACTCCTCAGTGTTCTAATTAAAAAGGGACACTGGATTTTATTGAATGCTTTTTCTGCATCTATTGAGAGGATCACATAATCTTTGGTTTTACTTCTGTTGATATGGTGAATAACATTTATAGATTTGCGTATATTAAACCAGACTTGCATCCTTGGGATGAAATCTACTTGATCATGATGTATGACTTTTTTGATAATAAGCTGTAATCTACTGGCTAGGATTTTGTTGAGAATCTTTGCATCTATATTCATTAGTGAAATTGGTCTGAAATTCTCCTTTTTTTAGTTGAGTCTTTTCCTGATTTTGGTATCAGAGTGATTTTTGCTTCATATAACATTTTGGGGAAGATTCCTTCCTCCTTAATTTTTTGGAATAATTTCTTCATTATAGGGATAAGCTCTTCTTTGAAGGTTTGACAGAATTATGGTGTGAAGTCATCCAGACCAGGGCAATTTTTTGTTGGGAGATTTTTTATTGTTTCTTTGATCTCAGTGCTTGAAATTGGTCTTTTCAGGAGATCTATTTCATCTGGGCTAAGTCTAGGGAGACGGTATGATTTCAAATATTGATCCACTTCCTTCACATTGTCAAATATCTGGGCATAAAGTTTCTGGTAGTATTCCAAGATAATCTCTTGTATCTCAGTGGCATCCATTGTTATTTTCCCTTTGTCATTTCTGATTGAGGTTACTAGAGATTTTACTTTTTTATTTCTAGTTAGTGTGGCCAAAGGTTTATCTATTTTATTAAAACCAATTCCTTGTTTCATTAATTTTCTGAATGATTCTTTTGTTTTCAATTTCATTAATCTCTGATTTAATTTTGGATATTTCTTTTCTTCTGCTGGTTTTAGGCTTAGATTGTTCTTTTTTTTCCAAGTCCATCAGATGGCTTGTGAGTTTGTGGATACGCTTATCCCAATACTCTTTAAGCAAACCATACCTGTTTACTTTTTTCCCTCTTAATTGGGTCTTTTTTAAAATATTTTTATTAAATCATAACTGCATATATTAATGCATTTATGGAGTACAATGTGCTAATTTGATATACAATGTGGAAAGCTTACATGAAACCTGCTAACATAACCAGCACCTCATTTACTTATTTGTTGTGGTAAGACATTTATACTCTACTCTTAATAGTTTTACAATGTACCATTACATCATACACAATAGATGAGGTCCTATTAAATACCTTCCCTCCTCTTGGCCTCCCCCTCTTTTCCCCTCTCCCTCCACTTCTCTCTTTTTTTCTGGACTATAGTTTTGTTTTATCATTCCTATCAATGTGTAGGTGATTATACATTGGTTTCATAATAGTATTGAGTACACTGGATACTATTTCTTCCACTCTTGAGATACTTTCCTAAGAAGAATATGTTCCAGGTCCATCCAGATAAACATAAAAGAGGTAAAGTCCCCATCTTTTAACGGCTGTATAGTATTCTGTGGTATATGTATTCCACAATTTGGTAATCCATTCATGGGTTGATGGGCACTTAGGCTGCTTCCATGATTTAGCAAATATGAATTGGGCAGCAATGAACATTCTGGTGTAAATGTCTTTGTTGTAAAATGATTTTTGATCATCTGGATATATACCTAGTAGAGGAACTGCAGGATCGAATGGTAGGTCTACTTTTAGTTCCCTGAGTATTCTCCAAATTTCTTTCCAAAAAAGATGTATAGCTTGCATTCCTTCCAGCAGTGTACAAGTGTTCCCTTCTCTCTGCATCCATGCCGACATCTGTAGTTTTGGGATTTTGTGATGTGGGCTAATCTTACTGGAGTTACATGACATCTCAAAGTAATTTTGATTTGCAATTCTCTGATGAATAAAGATCATGAGCATTTTTTCATGTGTTTGTAGGCCACACACCTGTCTTCTTCAAAGAAGCTTCTGTTCAAGTCTCTTGTCCACATAGAAATGGGGTTATTTGTTCTTTTCTTATTGATTAGTTTGAGTTTTCTGTGGATTCTAGTTATCAGACCCTTGTTGGGAAAATAACCTGGAAATATCTTCTCCCATTCTGAAGGCTGTTTGCTTCCTTTACTTACTGTACTCTTGGCTCTGCAGAAGCTTTTTAGTTTGATCAGATCCTAGTAATATATTTTTGGTGTTGTTTCTATTGCCAGGGGGGGTCCTCCTCCTAAAGAATTCTCCGAGGCCAGGGGCGGCTCCTCTGAAGGGTCAGGATTTCCACTGGGATCTGGGATCAGTGTCCTAATCCCAATACCTTCCTTTGTGGATATCTGAGGGACAGAGCTGAGATTCTCCTCT